GGATGAGCTGCCCTGGTCCCTCTGGGGACCACAGGACACCGGGGTGCGTGCCCTGGGCTGTGCCAAGCAGGACAAGAGAAGGGATGGGGAGGCCACAGCTGGATGCTGGGACCAGCTCGGGGCCCCCAGGCATCCCCAAAGCAGGGCGAGCCCAGGGACACCATGGTGATGGTGGGTGGAAGCCAGGGTGTACAAGGAGAGGCTGGGGGAGCTGTGCTTGCTCAGACGGAGAGGAGGAGGTGAAGGGGGATCCACTGGCATCTCCCCCTGCCCAAAGGGGTCCCGGAGACGCCGGGACCAGGCTCTGCCAGTCTGAGCAACTTGCTGCAGCATTGGCCCTGCTGGAAACAGGGTTGGGCTGGAGCCCCCCACCCTGGTGTTGCCTTGCAGAGCCAAATTATAAGTAGTGAGGAAGGCAAAAAAGGTCTTTTTAATCAATGCAACGATTGTGCAGGTATCTGAGCTTTCGCCCCTAGCATACAAGCAACTCATTATAATAACTGGGCTCTCTGATGTCTCTGTACCCTGAGCCCAAAGTGTCACGAGAAGGTATGGATGATCAGGTCGTCGAAGGAAAACGTGCCAACATGAAGTCCTCCAGCAGCATCCTGCACACACAGCTGGTGATGAGCAGGTTTTCAGGGGCAGGAGCATTGCACTGTGGCAGCCAGGGAGTCGCAACACCTTGGTTTGTCAGCCCGTAGCTAGGGACAGGGGTGGTGCCAGAGGTCAAAGCATCACCCTGTTAAAAAAGGTGGAAAGTCTGGCTTTGCAGGGATGCCACCTCCTCCTGCAACGTCCCATGCAAGCACCCTCTCATGATGTGATGCCTCAAGAAGGCTGGGAGATGCCAGACCCACGCAGCGGTGCTCACTGGCCTCCCACCGCAGATGTATCCTCTCTTCCCAGGTGATGAAATCGGGAGAATTCAAAGCCTTCGACTATGGCAGCAACAACCTAGCCATGTACCACCAGGTAGGAGGCTGCAGCGGCAGTGCTGGCAGCTTGGAGCTACCAGGGGACTGTCCTGGGTGGTGCAGGGGCAGGCTGGCTTGCGGGGGTTGACCACAACGACATTTCCTCAGAGCCCCCTGTGTCCCTCCAGGAGACACCTCCCTTCTACCATGTGGAGGAGATGCCCGTGCCCACCGCAGTGTGGTCAGGGGGGAAGGACTGGGTGGCTGACCTGAGGGATGTGCGCCTGCTGCTGCCCCGCATCGCCCATCTCATCACCTACGGCCACATCCCCGACTGGAACCACTGGGACTTCATCTGGGGCTTGG